ACTGCATTTCTCCTGCGTCGGAGCTTTAACCGGATGGGAACATCGTCTTTGGCGACTACAAGCATGATGACACAGTGACATGTTGATCTGCAACATCTTCGTGAAACTGCCATGCGTGGAACGCAGCCAGAGATACGATGCGAAGATCGAAGATGGGGACAGTGGAGTGGTACATGTGAAATGAAAGATTGTTCTGAATGATGGTGTGGGGTGAGTGGCGCCGACGGGACGGCTGGTGGACTTCTGGAGACTTCAGGCCTTTAGCGCAGGGAAAAGCTTGAGTCAGCCCGGGCCGCTGACCGCGCGTGTCAGGACTCGAGAACAGCATTGCGAGCTAACAATCAGACCACGCCGATGCGACTCACAAATACTTCCACGAGTGAAGCGAGCCGAATACATATTAACGTGATCTTGTCTACTGCGCGCTGTAAATCTCTGACGCGAGAAGCACCGAGAGTCTTATGACAGATTCGCCGTCTCCCGCACAGCCCCAAATACCCGGTGGGAGCGGGCTGCGGGAATTCCGATCTCTTCGTTTTATGTCTGTACAGTAGGGCCGTACTGCATACTTGTTGCTCTCTATATACAGGCACGGCACGGTTCGGTCAGTGCTCGGCCGGTTGCGCACGAGGAAGAATCGATCGGGATTGGATGCTGGGTATCATCATCTCGGCATCCCAGCCCTTGGCGACCAATGCAGGCAAAGTCCCGGAGGCGAGCGGCTATCAGGAGCCAAGGTAGGCGACCCAGTATTCGGGATCACTCTTGCGCCTCACGTTGTCGAGTGTGATGGAGGGACATGAGTGACACGGTAAGATCTGTTCTTTGAGGCCCGACATGTTTCCAACAACCAACGGTGTCCAGAACCTTATTACTGCATGTCGTGCGCAACATAGCAGTCGTTTATAACGCCTTTTTGCCAGTCTGTTTGGCCTCACGCGACAGATGGCGTACTCGTCCAGTTCCTCGCTCCTGGCCAGGGCGTCGGACAATCGCTTCGCCCGCATCACGACCACCGATCAGGGCGCGACACTTTGGGTCGTCACGCTTCTTTCCATGATTTATGCGATCCTGGTACTCACAGTTCGTCTCGGGTTCACGAAATGGAGAGCGCATACCTGGGACGACTTTGTCGTCGTAGTAGCACATGTACGCGTCGCGGAGCCCCCCGCCTTTACTGCCTTTATCAGTATGACCCGAAGCTGACGTCAACACAGCTTTTAGCATTCAGCATGTGGGCCTTTTTGTTTTCAGCGCTGAAGAGTGGTCTCGGGAAATCGTATAGCATCTTAGAAGATGCAGAGATATCTAGAACACAAGAGGTTAGCCAAAGGTCTCTTTTCTAACTCCATCTCATCACATACGCTGATATGCGCTGACACTTTGGATGTTGTCAGCTTTATTACACGAGTCGCGTCCTGCTCTTCATCGCACTCGGTTTTTCGAAAGTCTCTATCCTCATGCTCATCCGGTCTGTGTTCGCTCGGAACGTCAAGGTCTCCATACTAGCGATTGGTACCGGGGTCATCGTAGTGGTGTTGGGCCTGATTGGAGCCATTGCAACCACGACCTATTGTTCAGTCGATACCGTCATACCGAGGCCTGGTGACAAGTATTGCGTCGATTCAGTGAGTCTAACCTCCGTCTCCTTCGAAAGGCTGTACTAGCTCGCATGAGTGGTGCATCATCTTTGGTAGCATCCCCGTCAATGTGCCCTTACGAGATCCACACATCTTTCTGCACAAACACTGACCTGTTAGATTCCCTGGCTAAAAGCAATCACTATCGGTGACATGATCACCGAGGTAATCATCATGGCCTTACCGATAATAGGCTTTCACTCGTCTCTCATGTCGATCAAAAGCAAATTCATCGTTGTGATGGCCTTCTTTACGAGAATACCGTATGTATGAACACCGGATCGAGCTGGCAACGATACTTACACCTTTGTAGAAACGTTGTCTTCGCTCTTATGCACTTCCTCGCGTATGCCAAGTTCGTAGAGAGCCGTGAGTCGGCCATTCGCATCGTCCCGACCGTCGCCTGGCAAAGCGTTCTTCTTTCGTTCAACCTCATATCCGCAACAACTCCGCTCCTCAAAGGCTTCACTCAAGGATTCATGACGCAAGGAGTATCCTTAGGATACTTACGTGAGGGAACAACGGGCGGAGGTAGTGGGATGTCAGGCAGTTATGTGCTCAAGTCGCTCACGAAGAGTACTCGATCGAAGTCGAAATTCTCATCGCTGAAGCTGACGCCGTCGGATGCATACGCCACCACAACAGTCGAGGGGAACTCCGAAGAAGATACTCTCCCACCCTCAAGACTAGACCGCTTAAGGGGTCATGAGAGCTCCAGAAAATCGACCCTCCCACCCTCAAGGATGGACTGCATGAGAGGTCAGCGAGCGGAGCGTTCATCTATTGCTAGTCAAGAGTCGCAAAAGATCATGATCAAACAAGAATGGAAGATTTCGGCGGCGTAGACCGTAGGAGCATCTTTTCTGAGCATGTGGTGTTGTATGCCATGGGCTTGTACCGTAGCGTTCATTCCAGTTTATGTGCAGGTGCCGAATTCGTTCTCGCCTCGCGCGACAAGGATTTTGCGATGCGCTTACCTAAGCCGCCGGGATTACCCCGCCAAGTGGCGACGCAACATTAAACTCCGACATCTCCAGGCAGGCGACCACCCACACTTCCCATTATCTCTTCACCAATCAGATGGCACCACTAATGTTTGGGACGGCACATTTCTGGTCCCGGGCGCTAACAACGGTCCTGAGATAGCGATAATGGCGTACCCATTCTTCGTCGTTCCCAAAATCGCTTCTTCGCTACAGAGCGACTCGTCATCTGCACTTCTTCCATTCTCATGAGACTCGATTCCGGAAAATACGGTGTCACACCCTTATCATCAAGCGTTGGCGCAAATGCAATAGCACCTGACGATGGAGACGAGCTCAAGCAAAAGAGGATAGGGTCGCGTGACCTGCATGTCGACACCCAGGCAAACACCACATCTTCCGATATCGACGACGTCGAACAAGACAAGCCTACGAGTCAACCAGTATCATGGAGCGAATTGCCACGCAAAGACCAGCTCTTCGTTCTGATGCTTGCTCGTCTTTCCGAACCTTTGACTCAGACCTCGCTAGGCGCATATCTCTACTACCAGCTGCAATCCTTCGATCCATCACTCCCAGAGTCGACCATCTCGTACCAAGCTGGCATCATCGGCGCAGCATTTCCGGCGACTCAATTCATGACCGCCATGCTATGGGGACGCTTCTCCGATGCAGATTACGGTGGCCGAAAGAGAACGATATATCTTGGGCTGCTTGGTACAATGCTTAGCATCATTGGCTTTGGCTTCTCGCGCAGTTTCGCCATGGCAGTAGCGTTTAGATGTCTTGGCGGTATACTGAACGGCAATGTCGGCGTGATGAGGACTATGATCAGTGAGATCATCAAGGAAAAGAAGTACCAGAGTAGAGCCTTCTTGATCTTGCCTATGATCTTCAACGTCGGCGTCTTGGTCGGACCTATAATGGGTGAGTATCATCGAGGGGTTTGCATAGGAAACGGACTGACAGCAAGCAGGTGGTGTACTGGCAGACCCCTTTGCTAGCTACCCGTCTCTGTTCGGATCCAACTCAACCTTCGGCGGCAAAGACGGTGTACAGTGGATGAAGCGATACCCTTACGCACTACCCAATCTGACGAGTGCCGTGTTCCTATGCCTGTCATCCTTTGCCGTTCTCTTCTTCCTTGAAGAGACAGGTGAACTTTGCAAACACAGGCCCGACCCAGGTCTCCGCGTCGGCCGATGGATACGTCGAACGATCTTTCGCCAGAACATCGCAACTGAAGATGGGTACAGCGCTGTGCCGGAGGATGACTTCGAACTACAGCCCACCCCAACATCGGCCCACACACCAGCATCTGACAATCTTGACAAGCCGAAGATGTTCGTCAGACAACAGCTACCCTTCCGTCGTATTTGGACTCGCAACCTCGTCACAACGCTCTGTGCGCATGGCGTTCTTGCTATGCACGTAGGTACCTTCAACGGCCTCTGGACTATTCATCTCTCTACGCCTCGCTTCGACCGTAGTCACCCATATCCTCCTGGTTTCACGCCTCACGGCCTGTTCTTCACCGGCGGTCTAGCCATGCCTCCAGCTCGCATCGGTATAGCACTTGCCATCATCGGTGTCATAGGCATACCCTTGCAACTCTTCGTTTATCCCCGAGTTGCGCATCGCCTGGGCACAGTAGGCTGCTATCGCATCTTCCTCGCTCTCTTTCCGGTCATGTACACGACCGCTCCTTTCTTGAGTCTGGTTCCCAGCTGGACGTCCCCACCCGATGGTGTCAGCGGACCTTGGATATGGATCGCCATTACATGTGCTTTGTTCATACAAGTCCTCGCTCGCACATTCGCCCTGCCGTGTACGGCTATCCTCATCAACAACGTCAGTCCGCATCCATCGGTCTTGGGTACCGTTCATGGTATTGGCCAGTCGGTATCCAGTCTTACCCGGACCGTGGGGCCAATACTCTTCTCCTGGATCTTCGGCAGGGGGCTGGATATGGGCATGATCGGACTAGCCTGGTGGTGCATGGCCGCCGTAGCTATCGCTGGATGGGTGCTTGCACAGGGCGTAAAAGAAGGGAATGGGCATGAGATATTGCTTGAAGGGGAGAAGGAAGAGTATGATTGAGAGTATAGACGTTGAGACATCTAGAGATATCATGTCTGGTGCAAGATTTGACCAGTTGCAGCTACCATCTACTCAGGTTTCCTGTTCTCCATCCTTATCACTACTCATCATGCCTACGTAGCTCTTCACATGTTGTTACTTGCAACGCACGGCCACCTCGTATCCTCCTCGGCCCCTTGTGGGCAGCTTCTTAAGTGCATATCGTGCTCTTGTATACATCTTAATGTGTTCTAGTCACGTCTTAAGCCGCCACGCCCACCATCGTAGTCCCCAACCATCAACCTGCCTCTTCCCCTCCAATCCCAAACCCCCCATTAACCCCCTCCTCATCAGCAAACAGCCCAAACACCTTCTCAATCCTCCCCTTCGTATCCTTCGCAACCCCATCCACCTCACCCCCCAAAACCTCCACAAAAACATTCAACTTCCCCCTCCAATCCGCCACATCATCGCTCTCAAAGTCAATGTCGGGATTAAACCACTTCGCCTCCGCGGCATCAATGACCCACTTCAGCGACCTGTTGAGGTAGACGAGGTGGGAGCCCCGAATCTCCTTGTTGGACTGCGGATGGGTTTGAAGAGAGACCATTTCGGAGGCGAAGAAGGTTTTGAAATGGGGGTTCCCGAAAGCGGACACGAGGGTGGATGAGGATGTGATTTTTGATGCGGAGAAAGAGCCCATGCCTAGTTCGACGTCGGGTTTGGATGCGTCTTTGGGGGGTAGTTGGGGAGGGGTGGAGCGCGGTTTCGGGGCGAGTTTAACCGTCACCTTTTCGGTTGGTAGGGGTTTGGATGGCAAGCAGCCTAAGCCTGAGAAGAGGGGTGGGGTGACCTTGGCGGTGGGGGCCGTGGTCACGGGCTGTGGCGGCTGTGAGGATGGTGGTGTGGGTATGGGAGGTGTGTGCGCGGCGGCGACATGGCGTTCATACTCGTCGGAAGAATCGATCATGTCGACCTCTGGTGGGGACATACAGCTGTTGACCGCGCTGGAGCTGCTGGAGGCAGCACTGAAGGCCGACGCGCTGGGCTGTGACACCATCGAACTGGCGAGCGTACTCGCACTGAAGGTCGACGCGGTACCCCAAGATCCAGCCGAACTCCCAGAAGTATGGTTACTTGGAGACGACGATGGCGACGACGCGGGAGAGGTAGGTGGACTACCAAACACCCCACCGCTCGCCTCGAACGCGGCCAGTTGATCCATAGTATCGTATTCGCACTCCATCTCGTCTCCCTCCGCCTTCTTCAACTTCTCTTGTTGCTGCTCCACAAAGCCATGTGCTATGGACCGCCAGGTGGACTTATGTCGCGCGAAGCGAACATCGAAGGGTTTGTGCATCGAGCTTGAGCTGGTAAGGGGAGGGGGGTGGACGTCTATCCGGCGAAGTTTCTGGTCGCGCTTCTTCGTCGTTCGTATCGCTGGATGTGGCTTGCGGTTGAGATGGATATGCGCACGGGTGATGTGTGTCTTGGAGACGCGGGAGTTGACAGTGCGCTTGTGAGCCATGTTGGCGGTAGGTCGTGATTTACGCATCTCGCTTGTTGATGACAGAGGCGAAGATGGGCCAGTGTGATGGGTGTTCGCGAGATATGTGGTATGGGTGTACTCTTGCTCGCGAGTAGCGGACGACAATGGAGACGCTGAGGCTATCGTGAGATGGGAACGCGACGGTGACCGCGTATTGCTAGTGTGGGTCCCAAGCGCCCTCAATACTGCGTGACTGGCGGCAGTGAAGCGGTGTATAAGTCGAAGTGAATGGAGGTGAAGGGGCGGGCAAGAGCTCACGAACAGCCTGGTGGGCGTCACAAGCACACGCCTTGTCACTGAATCAACAACTGAGGGAGCGCTGCACATTGTACACAGCCATTACTATGTCTTAGAACGTAGACAATACTGGTCGAGAAGAGCTGGAGTAGGGAGGGCGTTGTGTAAGTACCACTTCGAAGCCCGACTTTGAGGTCCATATGGTATACAATCAACTGATTTCTAGTAAGCGTTTGAAATATTTATGTATTTATACTATCAGAAGACTATATATCTACCTCCACACCCCCATCAATCCAAATGACAGAGACTCACCCTTCAGCTCTCTTCTCAGACACTATCCCACCTTATAAAAGAAAAGAACTAAACAGGTCTGCAGGCTACATTAAGCTCAAACTTTGCAAAGTAGGTAACCTAACGTTGACGTAGGCTCTAGGCTGTTTAGTCCTTTCCTAGGTTGGCGTGATCTACATACTACCGCTCGATACTTACCTCTATACCTACCTCACACCCATACTAACCCCTACCCAGCATGACCAAACCTCTTCCTCGGATCGTAACGCTCAATCTCTCCACGAGCAGTCCGACTCGCCTTCGGTTTTGCTCTTGATTTCGTCACCTTGTCATCTTCCACCTTTTTCTCTGGCTTCTTTGGCTCTGCTTTCAATCTACCAGGACTCTCTTTCGCAGCGACTGGTTGTTCGTGTGCCTGGATAGCATTCTCACCAACAGATCGCGCGGCAAACACTTGTTCGCGTCGGCGTGCTTCGAGCTCGCGTGCCTGTGCATACTCATCGACCGGCTTGGCTGGCTCTACTGGCTTGCGTACCTTCGTCGGATGTGTGCTGCTACTCCTCTCCTGTGAGTCTTCGCGACGGCGGCGGCGGCGTTGCCTGTCCTTCTCCTCTTCTCGGCGACGAGACTCTTCCTCTTGAGCTCGTTTCTTTTCTTCAATCTCCAATCGCCGTTCGTTTTTTGCTTTACGTGCTCGCTGCATCTCGGCTTCTTCCTGCTCACGACGTTTTGCCACCTTTTCGTTGGTGATCTGTTTCACCCGCTGTATCTCGGATTCTTCCTGTTGACGATGCTTCTCTCGCTTTTCGTCGGTAATCTGCTTCGCTCGCTCCATTCGCCTATCGTCTTCCCTCTTACGTGCAAGGACTGTCTCGTCCAAGTCACTTAAGCGTTGTGCGTGCTTCTCCGTTCCTTTCTGCTCTGTCGCGTCAATCTTGGCAAGACCATGTGTTGGGCCTGTCTGGCGTGGCTGCGACTCTGTTGTGTGGAGTCGACGCCCTTCTTGGTATGGGCTCTCAGACGGTTGTCTAGTGCTGCTTCTTGACCTATAACGATCATCATTGGGTTTAGAAGCGGGAGATCGGCTTCGCCGTCTGGGCTCCCGATCTCTTCGTGAATTGCGCGAGTGGCGATCATCCTCGGAGTGATGTTGGCCTTCGCGTGGCCGATTTGGAGAATTCGACCGACCACGGTGTCGTTTCGCCTCCCTAAGAACTTCGTCGCGTGGTGCGCGTTTGATACTGGCAGTCGACGCGTCATTGCGCGCGACACTGCCATCTTTGTCTTGTACAAAACGGTCTGTCTTAGTATCCGTTCTGACGGGGGAAGGATCAGTGTCAGTGGCTGACGACTTGAAGCGCTTTAGCGGTCTGGTAGTTACTTCAGGCTCGCATTGGTCGACAGACTTTCTCTTCTTGCTTATGTTAGAAGGCGACCGAGATGACGTGTCTGAGTTTGTATTATTCGACATTGTGGCGTCGTAAACAATATACTCATCCGCAAATCTCTCACCGCCAAACACCATGACGGTTCCCTCATTGCTTTCAATCACGGCCGGATTCTTTCTTTGACCCTCCGTGGGGTCCTCTTCGCCTACTTCTGACCTCTTTCTCTTCTGTTGCATTTGTTCCTGACCACTGTCCCCGTCCACATCTTGCTTTCTGGCTTCTTTTGGGACGAGTTGAACGTAGCCGTAATCTTCAACGGACGGTGGATCGGACTTCTCACTCGGTATGCAGGTTTCGACAGTAGGAATGCGCTGAGGTGTGCTCCCATTGGCATTGGCGTCGTGTTGTTTGAGTGAGGGCGGCGTTGGTGGCGGCGTAAGACTTGAAGCTGCGCTGAAGGTGTACTCCCTTGCTTTCACGTCAACCCCAGCCTCTGTCTCTGGAGTCCCGCTATTCGAGAGTTGCGTGGGATAGGTGATAGTGGAGCGCGGCTCAATCTCTTCGCCGTAGATGTTGGGTAGGGAAAGACCGTCAACATTTGCGTTGGCTGCATTGCCTTGGTGATCAAACTGAACACTGGTGTCGAGCTGCTCTGAGTGTATGATGTAGTCGTCTCTTGTTTCCGACCAGACCTTGTATCCTGCCGACAGAGCTGCGTCGCGCTGTTTGTTAACTAACAGCGATGCCTTGACCTTTGCTTTTAGAAGATCCTTCTTGCATTGCGCTACATCCTTGGTCTGGAACGATGAGGTGACATAGTTTGCACGCCTATTGGAAACGTCTGGAGCGGGGAATGGCGCGCTCTGAACGACGTCGTGCGCTGATGGTCCCGGCTTGTAGCGACCAAGTGCGGCAGATCCAATTTTGCTGACGAGCTCCTGGTGTGTAGGCTCGCGATCGTAAATCTTGCGGAAACCATCGGCATTGCTTGGTGGAAGTGTTTGTATACCAGCACTGCGGTACAGGACGTGTCCTAGAGTAGTCACCTCGGCTGTCGATGGGACCGCCTCATGTTCCGACGACCCAGACTTGCCGTGTTTAATCGATGATGTAGCAGCACTGGAAAGCCTGCTTCCTGGTAGAGTTGCTGCGCTGGTAAACGTATTGTAGGCAGTTGTCTCGGCTGCGACGGCGCCGATATCAGAAGTGGTGTTGACATGTTCCAGAACCTGCTGCAGGCGTGCGTCGGCGGCGGGTGCTCGTTCAGTCATGACTGGTGATGTGGATACCGTGGACACGTGAGGATAGTTGGTCTGCGGACGTTGACAAGTGATGTCGCAATATGTGGTAATGCAAGTCGGTGGAAGGTGCAAACGTAGGATCAGGGTCCAGCTGGATAATAGCAGCTAGCGCGGAACCAAGTCGAAAATTGCGTGCGTCAAACACCTCGTGAATCCGACGTCTCAATAAAAGTGAATACATGTTTCCCGAATAAGAATGTGTCTGAACCCTTACCCCATCCATTGTTATATTGTTTCGATGACATTATGTGAATAATGCCTGGTCTAAATTGGCAACCAGACCCGCGAAGAGAGATCAAGACGTGTACTTTTCCGCGCAGTGTCCTAGCTTCTATCGTAGCATATTTGCGATTATGGGTACAGCATCATGCTCAGGCAGTAGCTCCAGTACGGTGCGTTGGTGGCGAAGTGGCTGAGCTGTAGCGGTCAATTGATCGCTCTTCATCATAAAGTCACCCCATAAATTTTGTAGGGCTGAAGTCGCCAGTGTGAGCCTCTTCCGAGACCTCTCTGACGTTCAAGTCTTGCGAATGAACTATGCATGGCGTGGGTCATACAAGCCAGGGAACGATCTGGTATGTGTACTCTGTGTCGAAGGGACGCGGTGGCGAGAGGCAAATGAAAATGATGAGAGTCAACAGAGGTAGAGGGTCTTGGGGTTTGTAAAGCGCTTGTGTTCCATCGCTTTGTTTTCCTTCTTGCTTTTCTGTTTCCGTTCTCGCGTTTAAGAGACACACTGTGCATGGGGCGACTGTATGTCTCTGTCCTGGCACTCACGTAGAATTCCCGTGATTAGTGATGGTAAGATAGATAGCCGTTACTGTCAAGCTGTCATTAATCAGGGGAACCACCTCTGCGTCGGTAAGCGGAGTCTGAGTTTTGATAATTTGTGCATCCGTTGAAAGATTGAAGCTTCCATTGGGCCGAGAGTCGCTTCCCCGTCTCTGCGGGGTGGATATCGATCTCAATGCAGCATGCCTTGCGAGACGCATGCGTGCTGCTTGGCCAAAAGACGCGTAGGCGTGTCGTAATTCCAGGGCAATCGAAGATGCCAAGTTGGTGAACCGTTGACAAGCCTCGATCGCAAGGCGACTAGCAAACGAAGTTAGCTATAGCGCTGAGCTTGGAAATGTCGATGAGCTGCGGTCATCACTCGGTCGGCTGTGCTGCGGGCCGCGATGAAACGCCGCTGGGGTGCATTGCGCAAGCATCGTCAACATGCCACGAGCCTACTTGGCGTCATAGATCAGAGGGTCGACTCTTGCGAACGTCCAATGGCAGGTGGGATGGTGAAGGTACGATATACGAATGAGCGAGTGAAAATGAGAGCAGCACGTGGATGCGCGAAGAACGGTTCGCGCGAGGCTGACTTGACCAAGAATAGCGGATAAGCGGGGCAGATCAGCGTCATTGGGCAGCGGCTCCCGGCGCAGTTGCAGGGATGTGCGTACAGCCTCATGGGAGACGCGTATCCGGTCGACCAGCCATAACATGTCCACGCCGCCGCCGCACATCCACTAACCTGCCAGCTCATCGTTCGTTCCAGGCACCTGGTCGCATCACAAACCGCACGCAGTATTCAGACGTGTATAACATGACGCAATGTTAGACGAGAACCTCCCCAGTACGTGTTCCCAGCTTTCCGGGCCAATCGCCATATCAATAGCGGCAGTGGTACTAACCACTCTCTAGCCTTCTTTCTCAAGGCCTCGACCGACAAGCTCAAGCACCACGAATCCTTCTACTTCACCCAGAACGGCTCCGAGCCCGAGGCGCAATATGCCCTCCACCACGTCGACCCAGCTTCCCACGAGGCGAAGAACACATACGCCGTAGCCTTGTTCGACTCGCGCAACCCCGAGGTGCTATACGGCGAAGTGCTTGCGAAGCCGGGATGGTCGCACCCAACATTGTCCCAGGAGGAGATTCGCAGGAATGGCGGAGTGCCGCCCCCGCCCCAGCCCATCTACCCCACCGAATTCGCCATCCAACTCTACAACCCCGATTCGCGCGTTGTCGTTAAGCACTCGACAGCGAAGTGGAGCAGCACCGTTAGCTGGGAGTTCAGCATACCCCAGGTCACCTTCAGGACCCCGAGCAACTCTACTCTCGATCGTAGCCTTGCGGACCCCGGCAGCGATGCCAACACGCCCAAAGTCAACTTTGCCTGGCGAAAGGAGGGCAGGCTGGGCAAGGACATGACATGCTACATGACGGGCAAATCGACCGATCCCACCGGCAAGAAGGTCAAGAAGAGCAAGGAACCGGATATCGCCGTTGCCCTGTTCTCTGGCCTGAAAGAACTCACAATCATGGAGTCAAACCTCTACCGTGTCGAGATTGAGGACTACAAGGGGCTGGAGGTAGCTTTGCTCATCGGGGCCGCTGTAATACGCGATCTGTTCTTCAGCGATCTGAATGACCAGTTCCACATCAACGCCAACATTCGAAAGAACAGCGCGGGTGTGCGCGCGAGGAAGGGCTCATCGCCGCTCGAAGGCCCGAACATCACAGCACCAGTCATGACACCGCAGCCTCCTCCACCGCCAGCCTACACCCCTTCATCGTCGCAATACCCACCCGAGAAGGTTGCCCTTCAGCCCGCCGGCGGTGCTGGTGCGAACGCACAAGTACCTCCACCTTCATATACCAGCAACAACAATGCCGCCAAGCGCTCTTCACTTCCACCGCTAGCTACCAACCAGGCCCGGCCCAGCCAGCCTCCACAACCCGTCCAACCTGAGCGACCTTTTCAACAGCAGCGCCCGCCTCAACCGCAGCGCCCAACACAACAACGGCAGCCGGGGCCAAGGTTAGATCCACGGGCGCAGTGGGAGCTTGACGCCGAGACCGCGCGACTGAAGGCACAAGTGGAGGCCGAGGCACGCGAGCAGAAGCGACAAGAAGAAGCAAACCGAAAAGCTCGGCGCAGGCAGGAGGAGGAACAAGAACGCAAGACGCTGCAGTTCCTAGAGCAGGAGCGAAAGCAGAAGGAACGCGAAGAGAAGGAGCGACGCCGGAAACAGGCCGAGATCGACAAGGAGACAGAACGCTTGAAGAAGCAGTTCGGAGACCAGTCCAACCTCCTCCAGCGCCCATCCCCACAGCCTCAGCGACACTCCTCACCCCTCGTACAGGGCGGATGGCAGAACCAGCGACCCAGTCCCGCACCCCGCCCTGCACCCGTTCCCGCACAACCCCCGCGCATGCAGCAGCCCCAAGGTGTATACCTGCAAGCACCTGTACAACATCGGCCCGCTGCTAGTCAGAGCAGCTTCTTCAGCAATGGACTACCAAAGCCGGTTGCCAAGGCTAAGAAGAGCTTCTGGGGCTTGAGGACACAAAGTGAGAGCAATGCTGAGAAGATCAAGAAGAAGAAAAGTAGCATGTTTTGATGAATGGTTTTTTTGGCGCTGGGGTCGTAGCATTGGGAATGGCATTGGGTATGGAGTTTTTGATTCGTGAGTCTTTATGATACCAGACTTTGCAATACAGTCATGTTCATATTCGAGCTTCTTGTTGGTTGTGCGTGTTCGTGTTGATCTGCGGTACCCAGATGCCATGCAGTAATCCAGGCTTTACCTCATTGGCGTTAGCGTTCCCGCGACTTCTACAATCGGCTTCAGAACCACTCCACTCCACGGCCAACACCAGCTTCCCGCCTCTTCTATCTCGCATTCATTACACTCACCCCAAAGTTTAGCCATGAGAGGCGTCCCATAATCCCCCCTCCGCTTCCGTTCAGCTCGAGGTTGGTTGCGAAGCCGTCAAACCCCGCCAAGACATAAACTTGCTCACTTGAGCACATTATCCTGGGGTCCGTATGCAGGGTCGCAGCTATAGCTCGCGCCACAACATGTTCGCTACAATCATGAGTGGATGCGTGCACACCGGTTCCAGACTCTCTACCTCTGAGTCTCACCTCTAATTGGGTCCTACATCTTTCCCAATGCCGTGGTCGCGGTTAGGCGAGGAAAGGCTTCTTCGTGCTTGCTTGGCAGCGGAACAGAGGCATCTGATTTCCGCTAGCACGACAGGCATGTGGGTAGAATTGCATGCGGAGACTCGCAGAGGAAGGTGTACTGGGAGTTGGGGTGGGTATAAAGGGTTTGGCGGCTGCATGTCAGATGCTGTACGCTGGTTGAGAGAACGGATTCCTTTCACATTCTACATCTTTCTGCTTTCGCATCTCCTCGTCCCTCCCTACTCCGACGACTGAACCTACTTGTAGCATCACCTTCTTGTTGTTACAGCGACCATGTTGTCAACCACCCTCCTCACAGTCGCCGCCCTCGCCGCGGGCGCAAACGCCCACTTCCGTCTCCTCGCACCCACATGGCGCGGTAGCTCCTTCGAAGAACCAGCGAGCCAATGGATCTACCCATGCGCCAACGTGAACGAAACAACAGACATGGCGAACCGTACGCATCCCATTCCTCTTTCTTCTCCCCAACATCCTGCCTACCCATCCCAAACCCCTCCCAAACCCCTCCCATACCTTCAAATTCCCCAATTCCCGCCTTCTAACCCACTAACCCACCCCCAGGAACTCTCTGGCCCCCCACCGGCGGCTCAACCATAATCAACGGCTCGCACACCTCAGCCCTCACCTCCGTGAACCTAGCCCTCGGCAGCAACGCCACGAATTTCAACATCACCCTCTTGGAAATGTTCAACCAAACCGGCGCCGGCGTGTTCTGCATGAAGGAAACCGGGAAAGCGAATCTGGAAGAAGGGTTCAAAGCGGCGGGGTATAGTGGACTGGATGATGAGCGGATTAATGGGTTGATGGCTACCGTGCAGGTTATTCAGTTGGGACATAGTGGGAGTGCTTTGTATAATGTGAGTGAGGATCTTCTTTCTAGTGGTCTGGGGTTGGGGGACGGGGGCGGTTGTAAGGAGTTATGGGGCTAACAGTGATATAGTGCGCGGATATCATGTTCAACGCTACGGCCGAGTTGCTGTCGGATGATCAGTGCCAGAATGGGACGGATGTTAGTGGTGTGGCGATTGCGAATGTGGGTTCTGCGACGGAAGAAGGGGGGGATGCGGCGGCGTCGCCTGCGCCGACTGGTGCGGCGGGGAGACTTAGTCCTGTTGTTGGAAGCGGGATGGTCGCGGTGGTTTTGGCTTGGGCGTTGTTGTAGGAGGTTGGAAGCGATGCGGCTGTGGAGTGTGGATTGGCGGATGACGATACCTATGACTACGTTCGCAATGAACATTACGCTTGTTCTTCAAGTGGATTTAACGTCTTCTTATTCATGCTCCTCCCTCTTCATCTTCATATTCTTCCCCATTCTCCCCCACCTCTTCACCTTCCTCGTCCGGCAGCTCATATTCTTGCGGTACCTCATCCTTCTCTGGAGTTTCAGGTTGCTCTTCTTCCGAGCTAGACTCGCCCTCCGTCATACCTGGATTACCGTCACGCGTCGATCTTTCGCATTGTGTACAGGACTCAGCGTTCTCTTCGTTGGGCCAGCGACACACTTCACATGTCCATTGCGGCATCTTGGTTATGATGCTCGGGTGAAATGAGGTGAAAGTATGGAAGATGCCGTCAGTGACTGCGAGAGTGCGTACGTGTGGGTATCTTGGTGAAGTGGTCCATGCTAGCGAGCTGTTCACTTTCCACTGCACAATGCTCATTGTTAAGGATGCGTGGGTACTACTGTGTGAATGCTTTGGCATTGTTAGTGCGGTACAAAGGGTTTGAGGGTATGTGCACGTCAATGGAATGGAATGGCATGGACACGAACGTGAACTCTAAAGTATGCTGTCGTGTGGTCATGCACGCTGTTGGCATGGTGAAGGCTGTCTCTTCAACCTTTCTAACGACCGACGGGATCGAAGCGCGCCATCACTGGCCTCAACGATTGTTTGAAATGGCGATTAGAGAGATGATTCTGTTTGTTCGTGTGGAATGAGAATGAACATTATCGGACCTCCGCAAGGTCTTGGTAGAAACCTAGAGAAGTGAAACTAGATCATCTGACAGCTGTGAATGCATCAGTTGCTCTTATCACATAATCCCGTCGGTCTCCATCTCTTCTTGAATATAAAGCAGCCTTTACAACTCTACACTCTCTGCCACGAAGCAGTACAACTCACCACTGAGCCTGAACATCTATCTTTTCAACACGCATCATCATCATTTCGAGCACGTGACAATGTCAGAATCTGATGCTCAAGCCTTGAGTCGCATGAACGCATACGTAGTGCCGTCATACATACCAAAAGACGCACCAAGAGGCCCAGCTGCTATGCGAGTGTCCCGTCCAACTCAAAACGAAGCCCATGATGAAATAGATGAATGGTTAGAGTCGGGGCTACAATCGTATACAGAAGAGGGCCAGCGCATGCATGATGCGGCGAACGGCGTCCAGGTACCGAAGCGTTCGACCGCGCTGACGAGCACGGCGCACGTTGTTGGCAGACTTGAAGAGCCCGAAGTTGCTTCACCGCCTCCGGCCTATCCTGAAGAAATTTCCGTGCCACACAACGAGGATCGCGTGGATGTCCCAATCCGCTCACGTGCATCCATGCGGTGTGGTGGGATCGTTCGTCACATCACCATCGGCGGTGACTACAACAACATCCACTTGAACACCGGTACTGGGCAGCAGAACATCGCACGTTACGACTATCGCAGGTATCGAGATGAAGAGACTGTTCAAGAATATCATGATGCTGGGAACGGCGGCGGCGGCGGCGGCGGTGACGAAGGCTACGATGGTGCGAACGAGGGCCGCAACGACCACGAAAATAGTCAAGATGATACCCCAGGATATCGTTCGCCAATAGGCGGCCGAGACGATCGAGATGATTGGGGTGACGATCGCTACGATGGGGAATACGACAGGTACAACGAGCGTCGTGGCCGTGGCAACACGCCTGCACGTGACAGCCGGGCTGGTGCGCGCTACGATGATGACGACGGATACCGAAGTGACGGAGGTTACTATAGCTATAGTGATGAGAGTGAGTACAGTGACTGGTAGGTCGAGGGTAGCGTGCGCATCTCGTTCAAAGAGACTGTAGCGTTGGTCGACGGCGGAAGAGCTGTCCGCCTGCACGATACGCGTAAAAGCTTTAGATGTGCCGAATAAGATTGGTCCATAGTGAGATAATTGGATCGGTAATTATTGTAATGCAAGGCAGATCCACAACAACATGTTGATATCTCTGCCTCTTCCACGAGATGTAGGTTGAGGAGGGAGAAGATTGGGAAGGCACGCTCGTGAGACGACGCCGAAGCAAAGGCCACCCCGCTTACGTAATGTGTCGTCAAGCGTCATTCATGCGCGAGGCATCCTCGCCTGCCTTACCTCTTTCCATCTACAGTCATCGCAGCTTCATTTCCAAACGCCACGTCTACGATGCGCGATACCCACACGGATGTTGCCTTATCATGCCGTGCACTCTGATCGTCGACGAGCTCGGCTCGCGGCCCCGTGGATCCTCATTCGCAGCTTTTCAGTCCCTACGATAGCCTGAGACTATCTGCATTGTTCACCTCAGCCTCTCAGCATTATTGCTTGCAGTCCAGCATGCCACTATCTATACACATGGCACGCCCCGTGATTGTTGCTCTACCGCGACGGTCTGAAAACGAATGAACCACTTGTTTCCACCCACCTACCTGCATGAAGTTTAAATCCTCAGCGGATGCTGGCACTTCAGTCCGGTGCCGTCGGCCTCTCAGACCTTCTCCGTTTATTACTGGAAGGCGATCCTTCGGAGCTACTTTTCCTCTTCTCTCCAGACATTGCTTCACCAGCAATCGAAGTATCGGCCGCCTTCCCAGGATCGACAACTGATTTGGACGTTTTCGGCCGTGCTTTGAAGAAATAAGCAATCGACTTCTTGCCTCCGCGTGGCGAAACTCTGACAGGGGGATTGGGCTTGACTGTGCCTTTGTTATCGTTCGCATCCGGTACCTTTTCCGGTGGTCGCGAAAACTTGATACCATCCGAGGGCTTCCAAAGATTGACTTCTGGGCCATCGTCTTCTCTGGCTCTCGATTCTGGGTTGGGCCCCGAGCCTGACTTCAGCTTCTTGTCGGCATTTACGCCAGTGTCAATTCCCTGAACTATGGAGGATGCAGTCCCTGCATCTGAACCCTGCCCCTGTAAGCGCTCACGTATTGCGCGCGTTAGTTGGCCAGCGTCACCTTTCACCACGGCGTCTTCCGACAGGTCTCGGGATGCATCAGTGTCTACAGACCTTTCCGTACGACCTGTCGAACTGGTGGAGCTCAACCGATCCGGATTCTCTTCGACAATAACCTGCTGCGGTAATGGATCTGCAGTCGTCAACGTGCGCCAAGCTCTTATACGGCTGTCGAGCTTGTGTTGATCGTCTCCGGTGGCCCTGCGGTTCACGGCATCTTTCTCCATGATAATACCGGTATCACAGCTCTGCAGATCGATAGACTCTACGAAGTCAATGCAATTCTTGGGAATTCCGAGTTTGCGAGCTTCCTCATAAGCAGCTAGGTAGTCGGTTCCAGCGGCCTGCAAGCTTTTCTTGTCAAGTATCACGTCTCTGAGAAATCCCTTGTTGAACTCTTCCCTGATGCTGTTGGAGGACCTCGAATCATTTGAGTTTTGTACGGCCTTGAGGTACCTGGCTCCTTCTCGGTCGTAATTATGGCAATAGTTCTCGCATCGATCCCGGGCCCGGATAAGATCTTTATGACGACGTGAAAGTCTCGCTAGAGCACTGAGAACTTCATTATGCGGATCAACAAGTTTTCTCTCGTCAAAGGGCGTCTTTGTTTCTGCTCGAGGAGCACTCGGCCGATCATTGCGCCGCTCCGGCCTCTCTTTCCCACCCTCCTGTTGGCTTACTCGGCCTGCCATCTCCTCCCGATTATCCTGTTTCTGACGAGATGAGCTTCGGGTTCTTTGCCTCGGTAGTGCTCGGGCTATCTTTCGTAGAGGCATATGTGCTTCTGCCCACACTTGCTTCAACAATATCTCTACGTCCAGCCAGCGAGCTTTCAAGCCATCATCATGACTCCTCAACTGACCCTCTACTCGCCTAATTGTTTCTTGGGCTCTATTGCGAGCTCCGAGCGCACCTCGACGATTTGACTCCAAATCTTTGAACTGAACCTGGTCCTTATCTTCAACTTGTTCTTCCCTTCTCAAATGGGCAAGACGCGTTTCGATACCAGCCAAAGCTTTGGTGTGATTGACTTCGTCTACCTGGGCTCGCTCATATTGTTTCTGCCCTGCTTCGTAAGTCTTACGATATATCTCGGCGAATTGAAGCGCGCGTTCTAGCGACGTTGCAAGTTCAGGTGACAGTCGGATAGCCAATTTCGATTCTTCGCCCTCTTTGATCGCTATAATAGCGGCGGACCTACGGGATATGAGTCTCTCTGGGTCATACTCACCCTCTAGCTGCCAGGGTCCAGCCTCAGCTCGAACTGGTGAGGCGTTGTCACCAGTTTGGGATCTTCCAGCAGCACTTGATGTTAGTTCTCCACCACTGGCCTCCGAACTCACACTCGTGTTGCTATCGCCTCCATGCCTGTGGCCTGTTCTCCGTGGGGTTGAAGCAGTTGGGTTCTGACGTACCCGCGATGCGTCACTATTGTAATAGTGATTGATTATGTTATAGACGTTCATTCTGCGTCTGGATTTGTATATATCGCCCTTTTCTCTCCTTCCGGCGGGACGGAAGTCGGCGGTTGAGTTTTTCTTTCGGCCATGACGCGAACTGGTCCTAGCCATGGCTAACGTAATGTGTTTGTTCAATGATTGAGTGGCTGGGGCGATCTTTTGAGACACCTGAAGGCTTATGACGAGGGGAAGGTGTCAAGATGACAGTGGAGTGAGGCTTGCTAACATATCCACAGACAACATTGGACTTGCCGAACGAACAAAGGGCCGTTCCTTTGTTCAGTTCTCCAAAATTGTCCACACAGCCGGGACCACTAACAGAGCCATTGTTGCAAGTTCAGTCATGACGATGCTTGGCTACGATTTACTCAGCTGTTGAGCCTACCGAGCCGTCTTCTTCTACCTGGTCATGCCCTCGTTCTTTGAGAAGTAGTTACCACTACTACATTGACCAAGGTATCGCGCACGCGAACCAGGACCTGTTCTAATCCCAAAAGCGCTCCACAATTTCTTTAGGCAGTGCGCCAATCCTCTCCTTCGTCTCATACACCTTGATATCATCACTGCCCATCGCTACAAGCACCGCAGACCGATGCTTGGTATCCTCCCCGACGGTCTTCCGCAACAGCTGGAGTAGTGTCACAACCTTCTGCAACGCCTCTTGGTTGCCCTTCTCCCACTTCTCGAAACCCTTGAAGCTGTCTGACTTGCTTCCAGCTTGGGTAACTTCCTTGATCCGAAGGTCCTTTTGCCTGTATGTTCCGTCAAAGTGAGCGTTGTGCTTCCCGCCGAGGCAGCAAGTAGGGGTTCTGCCAAACCACATCTGATCGATTGGTCGCGAACTTGCATTGCTCTTCAGCTCCAAAATCTGGTATTGAGGCACCGCCTTACCCTGGACAAGGACGGTCGTCTTCTGTGGACCTCCATGCTGGATGGTCTCAACGTCGTGCTCATTAGGGACAAAGGTAGGAAGAGTACTCGGTGGTGCATCGGGGTCTTGCGGCGACTCAATCGTGGGATCGTATGCGTCGGCCTCATGGCGTACAACTATGGTGAGGCTACCAAGCTTGTATCTGATGAAGCGATGATGGGTTGTTGCTCCGTCGATCTCGGATTCTGTGAGGGCGCTTTCGAAGTTACGACCGTAGGTATTGGTAGCGGACCTGACCTTTGCGTTGCGTACTTTCCTTCCGATAAAGAGAGTGTTCTTCTCTAAATCGAGATCAAGATGAAACGCTTGGAAGGAAGCGTTTTTGACGCACTTCATCAGAGTTAACATCGGAGTGCGGTTGATCACGACATCCACTTCGTTGAAGCGGATATCAGGGTTCATCATCGCGATGGCCTGGAAAGCGGGCTCGTATTTTTGCTGTGGAGCACGATCTGCATGCTCGTCGCTAAAATGGTAGCCAGAGTCGGGCGCAATCTTGAGAGGAAAGTCTCGAGGGTTTGGCCTCTTGAACACTGGCGGCGATCCTGGGACAGAGATCGTGGACTTTGCTTCGTCCATAAAGCTGTAGCTGCAGATCAATGCGTACCCTTCTACTGATGAGATGTCGTCTGAGCTGGGATAGATACCCTCGTAGGTACCCTGCCATACGATCTTGTCTGCGTTGGCATTGGCGTACATGTGTAAGTACCATTCTTCACCCTTGGGCTTCGAGAATGTCTTCAGGTTCAAGTCTATGTACACGCGTTTGCCGCTGGTTCTGTCGATATAGTGCGTCCCATGAATAGTTGACGTTGAGAATACAGGGTTTGATGAAGCTCGAGGGCGTCCGAACGCAGCTGGCGGGGCGGCGGTGTCCATATCTTTCGGGAAAGCGCTTCGGTTCATGCCTCGGGTGGGGGTCGATCGAAGTATTTAGGTGGGTAGTGGGCTTACTTACTGAAGTTTGAGTGAGCAGGTAGATGAGAACAGAGCTTGTAGTATATAAAGACCGTGGGCGAGAATTTACCGCCTAGGCACCAGAGACATTGAGTGTCCATCGAGTTGGCACGGGCACATAGAGTGAATGCCAGACTCATTTGGACCTCGGGAGGCTCTTTGCCTGGATTAGTTCTCAGGAAAGAACGCAAGAGACCTGTAATAAGTATTTTCAGATGACCAAGCGATTGCGAAGGCTGTCGTGGCTATACGTCAGCAAGCAATTAGACTTGAGATCATTGCGAAGTGCTCGGAGATGTTGCAACAGATAACCCAAAAATGTCTGAATGCGTCATAAAACACCACTAACGTCTTGAGCAGCAGCTACTTAGCCCTGTTTTGGTCGCTATCATCGGCGCCTAGAAGTCTTGAAGAAGTCTGTGACTGAACGTCGCTTATACTTGGCAACGACGTCGTGCCTTTGATCGCGGTCCATATTAGCAAAGCGTTGTAGGTCAGTTTGTCGTTGTGATCTTTTAGGATGTCGGTCTTCTTTTGATCGTGAGGCTTGTCTAACTCTATTATCTCGAGTTTTTATCGAGATTTGTGACACCGTTGGACTGTTTTTGGTGCGATTTCGTCTCCTTGTCTTGTGAACTCTGCCGTTCTTGTTATCACTGTCGATAACCAGTTCATCTTTGGTTCTTTTGTGTTGAACAATTGGATCGTTTTGCTCCGAGTGAGGTTCAGTCAGCGCCTTGCTTTTGCTCTCCCATGGTTGAACCTCCTCTGCAAAACCTCTTTCTTCGATTGGGTAAAGGGGCGTTTCAGCTGGAGCGCAGTTCAAGTTCCGTCGTCTCCAAGCCTCCAGTACGTTCATGGGCACTTCCTTCAAAAACATCGCATCTTCTTCGTCAAGTAACAGCATTTCGGTACTTTCCAGCTCCTCGCCACAATCAAAGTCTAACTCCACATCGGGAATCTTCTCACGCCAGGCTCGACCCACCGCTCGACGATAAGCAACTCTGGCTTCTTCCAGCTTTACCTTCTCGTCGCGTAACATGTCCAAAAACGCTGGCTTCACTACGTTGTCTCTGAACTCTGCAGCAACCCCATCCTCCCATGGTGCCCAGCTCGAATAGTGGTGACACATATGCTCAAACCGGGTGCGCGTCTTGCGCAAGGCGTCGGCAGACTCTTTAACGTCATCGCGAAGACGACGAAGGCTTGTGGGTGGCTCGCAGTCGATTCGTCGGGTTATACCTCTCTCATCTCCTTTGGGAAGTCTTGTTTCATCAATTGAATCAGACTCTATAACACGCGCTCGCACCCAGACTGGTAGTAGTAAAGCTCCGACGTTCTCCCATGCGTCTCTGCACGCTTGCTCAGCTAAGTTGCAATCTCCCCATGACTGAGTTTCTGCGTCTAACAGTCGATTTAGATCTACGCGAGTAAGATAAGCCCGGGTAACAAGCGTTCTCCGTTCCTCAAATTGCTCTGGTGTAGGGGCACTCGATAATGCTTCCATCGCTGTATCGAACTTCGCCAGTTCTTCGTCAGATCGTTGCGCATCCTTCACTGCTCGAGCCTTCTTCTCTCCTGTCTCAGCTCCATTCTCATCGATTTTTGTCCAAAGACTTTTATAGTGGCGTTCTGCGCGAAATGATTTACTGATGCACTCCGCCATCTCATGCGACACTGTGATTGCGGGCGTGATATTCTTGCCATCGTTAATGGCTACAAGGCGAGGTGTGCCAGAAGGGAACAGCCTGGCCGCGTCTCGTTCGCCCTTTGTCGACCAGTCCCGGACGGCGAGTATTGTACCGGTTTCCACTGCTTTCTTCCCGAGTTCCTTCGCAGCATCATTTCCACCGCCCCCTGTAGCTCTTGAGTCTAGAGTCTGAGGATTGCGATCTCTCTCACTTGCTCTTGAGTCTAATTCATCACGTAACATATCATCTCTCGAGCTGGGACGGAAAGCTTCGACGGGACTCTTAGTGACTGCTTGAGGATCTTGCTGAGCTGGCCCAGTTGTCGAAAGTATACCGCCCCGCGTACCAATATCTCCGTGTGAGTGCTGGCTCGCTCCAGATTGATGTCTTTCTGCACTGGTAATAGTTGAGCTAGTATGGTAATGATGATGATGGGTGTTATAGATGATGATGCCATGTTTTGCGACATAGCTGTGGATTTGCTCGCCAGTTGGAACAGGCTGCTCAGATGCGGCTGACGGACGGTTCTCCATGCCGCATGTATTTCCTGCCACTTGATGAAGTAAAACCCATGACGAGTTTTGTCCAGTGTCGCAAGTTCTAGGCTTGTAGCTAACAAGGGTTGGATACATGGCCCGATACAAAGACACAAAACTGCTTTTGATGTCTTTGTCCGCTCAATCCTCTTTGTCTATGTAAGCACAGTGACGCCACTTTGATACCAAATGTGCGAAGAAGCTTACGTCAATTAGGCTTGCTCAGTCTGTTGAGCATGTGGTTTGAGATGCAACGACTCCACATATCTTCATCTGTTGCATGGCGGAGTTGATCACCCCGGGGCTGCAATTTGTGTCTTTGCTTAGGACAACACCGCTTCTGCTGGTGTAATGCCACAACTTTAAACCGAAGACCAGGTTCGATTTTCGAGTCTCGACATGTTGCATACATGCTGCTCTTGTGTCAGAGTAGTCTATGTGGATTAAAAGACTGATACGTACATTGTCTGCTCGTTTCGGCGTGAATTGTGGTACTTGATCTTTAGAAAAGGCTTAGAGTGAACTTCAAGCGTAATCTACTTGATAACAGAAGTAGAGTCCGCCCTCTGATTAGCGGCCGCAAGTCGTGATACGCAAAACTTCCAAAGTAAAACGCTCATTGTCTTGGAAGCACCGCAATTCACTTGCACGCGCTTAGGTACGTGCAGAAGGACCTGGGCATAGGACGCAATTCAGGAAGTGCCAATGCTTTCGTAGAACAGCAATTCGCTGACACTATCACTCAACCGCTTTCTCTGATCCGCTCCCAGCCTTTTCATTACAAAACACCCAACCCTTTGCATTCGATACACTTTGCATCCATCAAGCCAACTACAACAATGGAGGATCGTCGGGAAATACTCGAAGAAAGTGACACCAGACCCACAGCGCCCAATAGTCGTTTGGTTCAACATGCGGATGATAAGGACTACCCTGACCGAGGACCTACCGAGGTCTCAGCTAGGAATCCCGACCGTCATGATGCCGATGACGACAACAGAAACCGTACTGCGGACATTGACCCCAGATCGAAGCTTGAAGCGCCACTCGGGACTCATTGGGGCACTACTAGGCCTGCTTCAATTGAAGTCAGAATGGGACTTCAGATAGGATCGCTCATTACAGCACCGATCCCGCAATTTGCCAAAGACCCGAGAGGCAAAGAAAAAACAAAGGATGGTTTCTTCGCGAGCCCACATGGCATGATGCTTGTCAAAAGGTACCCCTTAACAGTGTACAATGTGGATCGAGATAATGCTCGCATGCCAACAAAGTTATACTGTATGCAGCGTCATACCTATGGAAAGAGCGGATTATGGAAAGACGGCCGCTTACGAGATGACCATCATGTCCATGTCAAACTTTTACCTCCGGGCGGAAACATCGCGGACAAAGGCGATGCAGAAAACGATCCTCTGCTTGTTCGAGAACTGTACAACAATAAGTCGATTGCGGATAATGCCTACCTCGAGTTCAAGAGCATCTTCGTCGTTGAACTGGATGAGCATGTCGAGCTAGACGGGCAATTGGAGACGTCCAGCTGGCTTCGCTTGTTCGGAATGCACCTGTCCACTCACATGAACACTGTCCTTCTCCAACTAGAAAGTAGCCCAGGCCGCAAAGAGGAGGCCAAAGAAATTGTCAACGACCTCGCTAAAGCTTTCGCTAAGAAGGCAGGCGGGAAAAACGAAGCAATGCATGCAGGTCGAAGTCAAAACACTACTATCAACGAGACCACAGCGCAGACCCAAGTGGTATATGGTGAGCTGAATGGCCGGGCCAACTCGGCAAGCAGTATCGCTCAGAATCAACTGATTTCCACGCGTGATGGCAATGCCAGCCAACAAACGACCGATGTATATAGTCCCTGGGAGCGCTCAGAGGGTCGCGAACCGCGTCGGCGCAGTAGATCCCCAGGTGCAGAGCTGCAACCATTTCGAGAGCGCGATGACCGTTATGAAGGCAATGACCAGCCACGCTACCAACCTCGCACCTATGAGGACGAGCGTACCAGACGTGCGCAAGGAGGTGACTGGCCACACAGCCGTGACAGAGGGGAGCGTCACACGGTACGGGAGTCAAGACATGGTGAACGGGACCATCGATCTGACCGTGATACGGATCCTATGCCTCTTAACAGATACTATGCGGACAGTGAGGGTCGTAGAAGCGATCGCCGGTATGATTCGCCGGGTGGTAGGGAACAAGGTCGTGGCGGTAGGCCTGGCGCTTGGGGACGTGGTACACAGATGGGTAGAGGCCGGGGAGGAAGAGGCGGAAGAGGGGGATGAGCTCACTACCACCGATACGTCGCAAAGGACTTGGCATGTGCCCGTGCCATCAAAAACGAGTAGATACATAAGATACGCGTCGGATTGCGCGACGGATCTCTTGGGTCGTGCGAATGTCAAATGTGTAAAACTGGTCCTTCTTAATTTTTTATTGTCGTTACTTACTGGGGTAACAAAGCGGTTTTGAATGGAGGCGTTGCACTGAGATGGAGCACGAACAAAGGACGGCGTCGCGACGCGTCATAGATCGAAGAACGCGCTACCTAGGTATCCTCATAAACCAGACCTCGGCGCAACCCTCAAAGCACTATGAGCCAATCTGAACACATGCGTCTCTGGATCACTGGGACAGCTCTATGGCGATGGTTACGAACACTTGTATAGTCTGCTGAGTTCCTGAGACATTGCGGTGTTGAAGGCTGACACGCTCTGGAGCTTTGCCGTGTACGGCTGAGCCGCGGCGCTTGGGCCATGTCCCCGAGGCCGGAGGTTAACGGCGTGTACTACTATTCTTGTTTACGCACTTATCTTATAATAATCTAATTATAATAACTTTAGAAAGTATATTAAGTAGTTAGATTTATAATAACTATAATTTACTAATAAAGTTTAAGCTAGTATATCTATATATATATCTATAGTATAGTAATAAGTTTTTAAAATAACTTTAAAATAAGATAGCTTATACTATAAAACTATAGTTAAAGTTTAAGTATATAAAGTACTATTATTATTCTTTATTATATTATACTATCTTTATCTAAACTTTTTATTAATATATCTACTTAGCTTAAAATTTTAGTTTAAGTTTTTAGCTAAAAGTAAATATATTTATTACTACTACTAAAATAGTACTTTAGTAGCTAGTTACTAAAAGTAATAAAAATTATTATAAAAACGAAAGTACTTATTAAAAAATATAATAATACTAAAGTATATAATAATAGCTATATAATTAAGCTATTTAAATTATATTACTAAGAAGTATAAAGATTATCTAAAGATAACCTAAGAGTTAGTTCTTAAAGAGTAAGTAAGTAAGATAAAATAGATAGGTATACTAGTATAATTAGAAGATTAATATAATAGTATAAGAGTGTAATAGTATATTTAGTAAAATAATATAATATTATAAGAAGTTAAGTGTTAGGTTCTAGCTCTAAAGAGCTAGAGCTAACTTAGCACTAGCTATAAATACCTTAGAATCGCTATTATAGCTTAGTAGCAATTTATCTCTAGTCTTATTAGAATAATATACCTAATTATAGTCTAATATTATATATTTAGTATTTAACTAACTCTATTATTTAATATTTAAATTACTTATCTCTATAATACTCTTATATACGTAGTTTAGATATAATAAGCTCTAAAGTAAATCTCTCTAGTATAATATAATATAGCAGTAAGTAGGCTATATTATCTTTACGCGCGATAGATAATAACTAGAAAGAATTAGCTTCTCTATCTTTAGAGGTAGTAATACTACTCTCTAAGAAACTTATAAATCTATTAGAGGCCTCTTTAGGTATTACTAACTTAGTCTTAACTATTAAGAGTAGAAACGCGCTAATTAGGCTTATTATAAAGCTAACTATACTCTTATAGTCTACTACTATTAAAGGTAAGAATAAATAGACTACGCTAATCTATAAACTTAAAGAGTTATATAAATAGAAGTAGCTAGAGCGCACTTATTAAGATATAGCCTATCTTAGAGAATTAAAGCGCAAAGTACTTATAGGTAACTACTTAGCTCTTAAAAAGAATACTAACTACTACTCTTTAACTCTAAGAGGTAAGTTCTAATTAAACTTAGAAGCTCTACGTCTAAAGAATCTAGAGATATTTACTATGCGTAACTACTTATAGTATAACTACTAGATGCGCGATTATAAGGCTATTTTTAGAAGAGCGCTCTCTACCTTCTCTTTAGGTATCTAAAAAGTAGACTTTACTATTAGGTTTCTTAACAAAACTACTTATTCTACTTAGAACACCTATTTCTAGAACTATATAAGGCTTAAAGCGTCTTAGACGCCTATCTAGAAGAAACTTAAAGTAGTTATACTTAACACGCTTAGCTCTAAGTTATTATAGCGCCTTATAGCTTATAATAGGCTTAAGTAGGCTAAATAGAAGCTAAATTAGAATCTTAACTCTCTTTTAGCCTATCTTAATATGCTTTAGAGTAAACTAAGAGACTATCTAGAAGAGTAGCGTTATATAGACTTTATAAGCGCTCTTTTTTCTAATATTTAGAAAGAACTTCTACTTTAGAACTAGAAAGACTATAACACTATCTCTAAGCTTAATACCTTAGCTTATTACTACTAGAGTAAGATAAAGCGCACTACTATACTTCTAGAGTATCTAGCTTATAGAAAGAAATCTTATAGCTATTAGATATAAGATTTCTTTTTAGAGTCTTCTTAGACTTAGAAAAAAGCTAAGAAGTCTAGTTTAGCTAAATCTAACTTAAAACTAGCTAAATAGAACTAAAATAGTCTAAAAGACTCTAATATAGCCTATTAGAGGTGTAATAAGACTAGATACTTCTAAAGAGACTATCTAAAGTCTAAGAAAGACTCTAAGAGCTTATTAAGTTAAAGATTAAGAAAAGGTAGTAGATAGAGAAGCTAGAGTCTTTCTTAGCTATCTATATTACTCTAGACCTAGTATCTTAGAACTTAGAACTTCTTTATAATACGCTTTACTCTAAACTAGTAAAGCTACTTATAGTAAAAGTATTACTTAGCTAGTTAGAGCTTATTAAGGCTCTATTAGATAGAGGTTCTTAGTTAAACTTTATTTTAGCGTTACTTACTATAGAGTAAAGCTTATTAGTTTACTCTCTATCTAAGCTATTAGTAGATAGAGTAAATAGTAAAGAATTAAAGATTTATAGTACTACTATAGTAACTATAAAAGTAGTAGATTCTTATAGAAAATAAGAGATCTAAAACGTTTTATATATTATTATAGAGGTCTATAAGTATTAGATATACTTAGATCTACTCTAGATAGACGCGTATTATCTAAAGATTAGCTACTCTATCTAGAGAATACTTTTTTAAGATCTTAAGTCTAAAAATAGAACTATCTATAGAAAGATTATACTAGAGAAGGCTAAGAAGTTTAAGAAGACTATGCGCGATTCTATATTAGATATATATAGCTATCTTATAGTCTTAGCGCTCTAGTCTAGTCTAAAAGAGGCTAAAGAGAATAGATTGCCTCTATAATATGCTAAGTTTGCCTATTTAGAGTTAGAAGATAACTTAAGAGCTCTTACTAACTATAGTCTATAAGACTTAGCTATTAACTTACTATCTAAGACTATAGCGCTCTACTAGCTATTATATAACCTCTTTAGAATAGAGTTAGAACTCTTATATAAGTATTTAGATAAATACTTAGCGTAAGAGTAGATTAGGTATAGTAAGTTCTTAGTAGAGACGCCTATACTCTTTACTAAGAAGAAAGATAGTAGTATAAAGCTATACGTTAACTATTAGAGCCTTAATAAGGTTACTATTAAGAATTAGCACTCTTTACTACTTATTATAGAGTCTCTAGAAAGACTAGCTAGCGCTAAGTTCTATACTAAACTAGATATAAAAGAGGCTTACTATAGAGTATATATTAAGAAAGGTATTAAGTAGAAAACTACTTTCTACACTAGATATAGTAGTTTTAAGTATACTATAATGTCTTTTAGCTTTATAAATACGCCTATATAGTTCTAGGCTTATATCTATTAAGTCTTAGTAGAATTAATTAATGTAACCTATATTATATACTTAGATAATATTCTTATTTTCTCTAATAATAAAGAGAAGTATAAGAGCTATATTAGAGAAGTTTTACGTAGATTGCGCGATATAAAGCTGTTTCTAAAGCTTCTAAAGTACGAGTAGTATATCTAGCGCACTAAGTACCTTAGGTACGTAGTTTCTTCTAAGAGAATCTAAATTAATAAGAATAAAATTAAGACGATCTAGAAATAGCCTAAGCCGCGCATAGTGCGCAAGATTTAGATATTTATTAGCTTTATAAACTACTATAAGTAGTTTATTACTAGATTTTTCTAACTTACTCTATCTTTAACTAAACTAATCTAGAAGAGGCTAGAAGTAGCTAAGAGTAGCTGCGCCTAGTAGAGAGAGAAGAGTTAGGTCTTTAATCTTAATAAGGAAGCTAAAGAGGCCTTTTAGAAGCTAAAAGACTCTTTCTTAAGTATTTCTATCTTAACTTATTTTAAGCAAGATAGAAAGACTAAGGCTAAGGTAGACGCCTTAGGTAGCGCAATTATAGGTATATTAAGCTAATATATGCTAAATAGAGCTAGAGAGTACTACTAGCGTCTAGTTAACTTCTTCTTACGTAAGCTTATTATAGCAGAATATAATTATAATACGTATAACTAGAAGCTACTTACGATAGTTAAAAGCCTAGAGTATTAGCGCTAATACTTAGAGAGTATATACTTTAACCTCTATACTAACTATTAGAATCTAAAATAGTTTATAAAGACTAAGACCTTTAACTACTAATAAGTTAGGTCTTATATTATACTATCTAGGTTTAATTTTAATATCTATTATAAGGTAGAGTCTATAAACTCTATAGATAGGCTATCTTACTACTCTAACTATATAGTAGAAGCTTAGAAATCTACCTAGAAGTATAATAAAGCTTTTGTTTAGCTTATAAGAGATCTTATAACTAATAGTAATAAAACTTTTCTTTTAGTAGCTATAGTATAGACTTATTCTACTAAGCGTACTAAAGAATAATAAGATTTTACTAAAAGTCTTAAAAGCTTTAACTAGGCTAGTAGATATACTATACTAGAGCTCTAGAC